TGAAAGTTCAATTACCCTTGTGCAATCTCAAATCCTAATTTCAAGCATCAATGCTTAAGGAGGTGTCCTGAGTTGATCAAACCTAATGCAGTCTTGAACCAAGAGAGATGTTTGGGAGAAAAATATTTGATAAATGAGAGGGCAAATTTTGGGGTACAAAACCTATTGGTCAGTCATATTAAGGGAGAATTGGACACAAAGCATCCAAATCTCATTCCTTAACGAGAGCATGTGTTGACATTAATTCCTTACTTCGAAGAAATCTCTTTCGAACACATTCCACGAGAAGATAATCAACTGGCTGACGCACTAGCTACCATGTCATCTATGTTCAAAAATAATGAAGCTCCTCAAATTACTATTGAGAGACTAGAAAAACGGGTGCATTGCTACGAAGTTGATACTGATGGAGTAGAGGAAAACCCTTGGTACCACGAAGTGAAAAGATACCTAGAAACTCAAGAATATCCTAAAGAGGCATCTGTCAATGATAAGAAATTTCTAAGGAGGTTCTCTGCCAAGTTCTTTATGAGTAACAAAATCTTGTACAAGAGCAACCATAATTAAACTTTGCTTAGTTGTGTATAGAAGAAGGAAGCTGAGAAAATTATGGAAGATATGCATGAAGGCGTCTTTGGTACTCACTCTAGTGGACATAAAATGGCTAAGAAGATTATGAGAGCATGTTATTATTTATCTACCATGGAAACGATTGCCATCATCATTCCAAAACTTGCCACAAATTCCAGATTTATGCTAACAAAGTACATGTGACTCTGGTTCCTTTTAATGTCTTAACAGCTCCTCGGTCATTGGCAATGTGGCGCATTGATATGATTGGAGAGATTAAGCCTACTACTTCCAATGGGAATCGTTTCATCCTTGTCACTATTTATTACTTCACGAAATGGGTAGAAGCAACCTCATTTGCTTCCGTTACCAAGAATGTTATGGCTGAGTTCATTAAGTATAACCTTATTTATCGGTATGGCATCTCTGAAAGGATCATCACAGACAATGGTACCAATCTTAACAACACTATAATCATGAAACTTTGCATGCAGTGTGAAACAACCGACTGAACAATCAAATGACAATGAAATCAATGAAGTCGCCATCAAATGTTTTTTTATCCCACGCGAAGGGAAAGGTAAACATCGAGTAAACCTGAGAAGGGTGAAATCAAGGTCGAACGAACAAGAGATATAGGTAAGGGAGTCTGTTACGCGAGGGGAAGGTATTAGCACTCCACACGCCCGTAGTACTCTATGATATCCACTCTTGTTGTTCTAATCAAAGGGTGTGTAAGAATCTATATCTAAGCTGTACAAGGAATGCATGCAAAAGAAAGGAGAAAAGAATGTAGGGAAAATAAAATTTGTGCTTGTTCGGGCCCTACCCCGATACCTACGTATCCTTTTTAAGGAATCAAAGCAGTCGTAGTTCGGCTCACATGTTTTTATTGGTTTGTATTTTTAATGAACAAAATTAATTTTACCTTTTGCTGCAACTCGACCTTTGGAGACTTACGCGTCAGCACAGAAGTGAATTAACATATTCTTTTGAAAAGAGTCTTGAAAGAAAAGCCCGTAGGCAAAAGGAGTTTGTGTTTGTTGGTGTTTTTGCTGCAGATAACAGCTAGTTAATCTCAAGAGAGAGATTTTAGCTATTTCTCTACTTATTCATGAAATAAGTCTTTGAAACTTGAACCACACCAAAGCTTAGAATAAGAGAACAATAAGGTCGAGAAGAAACCCGCTTATCATCTCTCATACTTAACAAAGATATGATTCTCGTTAGTAATTTTTTTTAAAAGTATTTCGAAGTTTGAAAGAAAAAGAAGTTTTAGTTTTAGATGCTCATGCAAAAGGGAAAAAAAGTGTCTAAGGGGGATTAGCCTATTTCTAAACCTAATGTTATTATACAATGGTAGCCCTAAGGTTTGGGTTAAAAAGAGAAATGTCTACCTAATGTTAGCATGCGTGTTTTACAACCTAAGGGTTGACCTGCGTCCGAACGGAGCAAGCGCATCCTAAGGGAACATGGTATGTACAAGGATAAAGCAAGAAAGCTTATAAACCCAAGAGAGCATACTTAAAGATATCATATCTAAGTTAGCATGCTTAAGAAAGTCTAACAAAACTATCCTATAGGGAACATGCAATGAGAGAGAAGTCGTGATCTCAATTTCTAAATTGAGTGACTCATCGATCAGCAAGAAATAAAGGAAAGCGATAAAATCCTATAGGGAGCATGCACTGAGAGCGAAGTCGTGATCTCAATTTCTAAATTGAGTGACGCATTGATCAACAACCAAAGAAACAAACACAAGCACAACACATATAGCCAATGAAGTGCGGAATGCCTGCTACAGGTCTTTAAACAGCGACTTCGAGCGCACTCTTTTTATTTCATACTTATCATGGTATCTAGAAAGCAATAAAGAAATGAAATAAAGTGAGAATAAGTACAAGGGTAGTAGCGGCGAATACCAAAGCGAGCAAATCATCAAGAGCGGATGAAAGTAATGGAGAAACAGGGAGTACGCATCGAGCAAGCTTCACCAATAAACAAACAAAGTCAGAAATTATATCCAACTAAGATAAAGGCAAACGCGTTTTGCGAATGCAACGCGTAGTCGGAAGTTCCTGTTATGTTACATGATCGAAAGAAGAAAAATGTACCTTGAACAATGAACAAATGCGTCAAAAATATATTATGGCGAAGCGGCACAAAAATATGGATAAAACTAAAAGAAGACAAGTATTTTTTACTAGTTTTTATGTAAGGAAAATTCTAAAAAAAAAAGATTATTAATTCCTAAAATTTCTATTAGAATATACTATTTTCATGGTCTTTTAAATTATTTTTATCATGTATTTTATTGGCAAAAATTAACACAAAAGAAAGTCCTAATTCTAATGAAGAAATAGTGAATTCAAGGGAGTTTAAACTAGAATCTAGGGAGTGTGGGCTAGAAAATAGGTGCCAGGCCCATTCTGTATAATCCAATGCTATCTTGTTTTTTGCATTCACAAGACAACAGGTTCTAAAAAAAACAGTGCTATGGGCTTGAAAAAGCTCAGTCCACTTCCAACTTTGTTTAAGCATTAGGCTCAAAAACACAAAATGGGTTGTAGCAAAGGCGTTTTGGTCCAGGGTAAGGTCCGGCCCAACACCATCATTCTATCACCATTTTCAACAATAATCTGTTAACATTGAATTAAAAAAATTAAAAAAATTAAAAGAGGAAAAGCTATGAAACGGTGCGTTTCATTTGGTTCTAGGGTTAAACGCTTCAGATCCTTTCAAAATTGTCTTCCTCCCTCTCTCTTCTTCTTCGCGAACGCCGGCGACCATTCTTATCCACTCTACATCCTAACGTTGTCTCTATGAAACAAACTCACCACCACAAAACTCCATCCACATCGTACATCGGCTCAACCTTTTTGTACCTTTCCTCCGCAATCTCTATCTGTATTGGTTTCTACAACAACCGTTATATTTCTGAAACTCACAGGAATCAGAAAATCTAACAAGACCTAAAGCTAAATCATCCATGCTCTATGCTCAATCAGACCTCAATCCATGTTAAAGTGTGAAAAGGACGCAACGAAGTCGAGAGAAGTCGAACCTGAACCGGTAGCTCGAAGAAGATTAGCTTCAGAGAACCATAGGGGAGATTCCTGCCAGGTAATATGATCTTGATCCTTTCTAACTTCTTCTGATGCGTACAAATCTTCTTTCTTCTTTCTTCTTCTCCGATTCTACTTCTACTGTGCAACGCTGCGAACTCTGTTTCTTTTTGTTCTGCTACAAAATGTTATTGCGGAAACTGTGGTGTGATTCGTTGTTGTTTGTCGATTTTGCAGATAAAGGTTGAAGATGATTCAATATTGCAGAGAGAGAGAGAGGCATGTTGTAGAAGGTGAACGAATAACCCTATGCAGCAACGTGACAATGGTGATGGTGCAGGATTCTGAAGCGTGAAGGTGTTGAAAGATGAAGGCGATACAAATTGGTTACAGAGATGAAGATATGAAGAGGAAGTCGAGAGATATGAGAGAGATTTTCAGAATTTTCTGTGGAGTCTTTTCTGTTTTTTTCCTACCGGTTCCCCTATTCTCGTGAATGAAGGTTTGTTATAGGTTGATAAATCAGAGCCCCTGGATTGAATGAGTTGGTTACATGAGGACAATTCTAAGCCATAGATTTGGAGAGTTAGTTAGATATTTGGATGGCTCCGATTTAACTGACGAAAATTTGGTAAGCTATATCCCTGATATTCCTTCCCCTCTGATATTTTTTCTTCTTTTTATTTTCCTTCTGATGAGAGTTTTTTTGTAACTGAATTCTTTTTCTTGACAGTTGAAATAGTGAGGAATTGGTTAGAAGTTCTGTTAGTTGAATAGGTTCTTTGACTGTTAGAAAGGTTAGAGATTGTTATGAAAGTTTGTTACATTCTGTTATTGGTTGAACTGTTAGTTATAGATCTGTTAAATGTTAGTGAATTGGTTAGGGGTTATGGAATCTGTTAGAAGTCAGTTTTGTTTTCTGTTATCTTTTCTATTACAGTTAGTTTGAGTTAGTTGGGTGGTTGGAAACTGTTAAGAGAAAAAACTTAGGGGTTATTAGAGAGAAATTATGGTAGTTGGCTTTTTTTGTTAATTTGGATTCAATTTAGGAGTGAATTTCTGTTTTGTCTTCTGTTTAGAAATTTGGTTGAAAGTTGGTTGGTTTTTTTGGAAATTAGTTGGTTCGTTTATGCAGGGTAGTTTAGTCACAAAAATTCTGTTAGTTAGAGATTGAGGAGTTAGTTTGAAATTTTGTTTTTATAGTTAAGAGAGATTAGAATGTCTGTTACACATGCTAGAATTTTCTAAATTCACTTTCTGATTCTTTTGTTCTCTTTTATCTGATCAGTCTGATTTTTTTTATACTTCTATTGATAAAACTGATGCAAGGTAGCATTATCGTTTTTGATTTCCTGAACTGTGATGTTAATTGGTTTTCTGCTTCTCATCATAGGTGGTAGCCTTCTCAAGCCTCACTGTAAAGTCAACAACTGAGACATCCACAATTGGGACACATAATGACATACCAGTCAACTTTCCATTCAAAGCAGGAAGCACTTTGCCGATAGCCTTAGCAGTTTCAGTACTGCTGGGAATGATGTTAAATGAAGCAGCTCTTCCACCTCTCCAATATTTTCTTGATGTTCCATCAACAGTCTCCTGGGTGACAGTGATGGAATGGACAGTGGTCATGAGACCCTCAACAATGCCAAACATGTCATATATAACCTTTGCAAGTGGGGCAAGGAAGTTGGTGTTGCAACTAGCATTATTCGTTCTTGTTAACACCGAAAACAAACATGGGAGCATCTTTACTGGGAGCAGAAATGGTGACCTTCTTGGCATTAGGGGATACAATTGTTTTGGATTGTTCTGTCATGGAATTTTAGCACCTTTAGGATTTTAGGAATTTTGTTCAACTGCATTTTTGTAACTGTTTTTTTTCTTTTTGGATTGTTGGTATAATAGGATTGTAATGATTTTATAATGAATGGTGAAATTGGATGAACTTGAATATTATAGTGTGAACTATAAATGAATTTGCCCTTGTAATTCACTTGGAACCAAGGTAATGCAATATGATCTTGAATACAAATGTAACTTAGGGAACTCTTGAATCAAATGACAAATTATCAAGGGTGCAGATTACTTTCTTTTCATTTGATTTTGAGTTTCCCAATAATGAAATGTTTTCCTTTCTTTTTGATATCCCAAGTCCTTCATTGACCTTGTGTTTTTGAAATCCCAATGTCTCACATTCTATCTATTTGGATGAACTTCCTTGCTTGAATATCTTCGAATGAACGAATATAGGTTTCCTTAAACCAACTTGAATGAGTCCATGCTTAAACGTTTGAATGTCCTTAACTCCAAACCCTAATCTTCCATGCAAAGATTTTAAATTTTAATCTAAAAACATTGAAATGAAATCTGAAGAAAGTAAATGGTATCGCAAGTAAACCAATCGACCAGATAAAGAGCTTCGCATTATAAGGCATACACACCCTAATTCATAAAGAAGGTCCAACTAAATCCTCTTCTCTAGAATAGAGTTGTTGCCCACATGACTAGAGATTCAAGCAATGATTTCCTTCTTATTTGCCAAAGATATATCAATTGAAACCCTGGTTATTCATGGACGATATCCTCTGATGATAGCCTTTCCTGATAATCACAACTTCGTCGAGAAACCTCTCTTAAATGGTACATGATTTAGAGAAATAAACCCTAATCAAAGGATGACGTTGAGCACAAGGAGATAATGAATTCCTAATTTAGTAGCCCTTAGATGACCTCATAGAACAACTTGTAAATGAACATGGGAATATAGAAAGAAATATTACCAAGATAGCCATGAATTAAAAATCTAATTAACCTCGGTTGATGAAATATTGACAAGCACAAACTTGGTGGAGAAAAACTCTGACTCTTGTCTTGAATGCATCTGAATGAGTAATTACCCCCTTAACTTGAAGAGAAAGGAACCCTCAATAATTATAGGTCGCAACCCTAATTCCATATTTCACTGCTTGAAGAATAATCAGAAGAATCAGGCTTTATTGGATACGAACACCTTAACCGCTGCGAAACCCTAATATCGCACAACCACTGAAATTTGAACCTTAAGCTCTTCTGAATGCAAATGTATGTTAATGACCTAATGGAATATATACAGATGAATGCAAGAGTATAAGACAGATAGAAGAAATTAGGAGGGCAAATTTTGGGGTGCAACACAGTGCAAGATTAAGCATCACAATTCTTCTCCGTACCAACCAAAGATGAATGGCACTGTGGATGCCGCCAACAAGAATATCAAGAAGATCTTACAGAAGATGACACTGACATACAAAGATTGGCATGATATGTTACCATTTTCTCTCCATGGTTATCACACTTCAGTACGTACATCAACTAGAGAAACCATGTTCTCTCTCGTCTACGGTATGGAGGTTGTCTTACCTGTTGAAGTCCAGATTCCTTCCCTAAGGATTCTGAAAGACGCAGATGAAGACGAATGGATTCAGACTCTACTTGACCAGATAAATTTTATTGATGAGAAAAGGCTTGCGGCTGTTTGTCATGGTCAGATTAATCAGAAACACATGATCAAGGCTTTTAACAAGAAAGTCAAACATCAGGTGTACCAGGATGGTGATTTGGTAATAAAGCACATCATCCTACCACAAGGTGATCCCAGGGGAAAATGGAATCCCACATACGAAGGGCTATTTGTCATCAAAAGATATTTTCTGGTGGTGCTATGATACTTACCACCATGGATGGTGAAGATTTTCTACACCCTATGAACGCGGACATAGTAAAAAAATATTACGCATAAAAGAGACTTGATAGGTTGACAGGCCTAGGCAAAAATAAGGGCATCCCGGCGAACCAAAAGGGTTTGAAAAAAAATTAGGGATATATGTATATATAAAAATTGTACATCCAGTAAGTCGAAAACCTGGAAAGGCGACTTGGGAAAAAAGGATATCCTGATGGACTGAAAACCCGAAAGGATGGTCCAAGAAAAAGTTAGGGATTAAAGTGTACGACTATGTCCCATTGGATCATCCATCTACCTACATCAAGCTTTATTACTAGCGTCAAGTTCAAACGGTATAGATTAATTCAATCATCTTATTTCAACAACAGGTGATGAGATACTTGAAGACATATGGGCAATGACAGAGTTGAAACTCGATGGGATCGTTTCCACATAGCTGTTTTTCTTTGTTTATCACTTTGTACCTCTTTTTAAATTTTTACGACAATTTCCTCTTACTAGGATTTCTGTCTCCTTGTATAAAATTGCCTGCTTATAGGAAAACTTTTAGAATCAATTAAATATATTTCAAAATTAAAAATTGTTTTTACTTTCTCTGTTTTGTTTGAAAAAAGTCTAATGATTATGTTGAATGAATATATGCATTCGAATATGATTACTATTTACAAAACATATGCATGAAAACAGGATTAACATTTACTAAAGACTCTAGGAGTTGGGATAATGTTCAAGTTATCCATAAATCCCCACAGAGCAATCTTCATGGAATGATCTCTACAGAGCTATCTTCACAAGCTCATCCCCAACAGAGATATATTCCCCAGCAAGTCTAATATGCCCTAAGATAGAAATTGGGGTATCTTCCAACGGTTCACCTCCATATCCCTAATGGATATCTTGACATGATCATCTTCCCCAATAGGTCCCATAGTAGATAAGGAAGTTGGATAACTTCTCAAGAATATAGTGGGAACTTCCTCAGCGCAGCCTATATAGATTATTTCCTCAACGCAGTTTATAAGATTTAATTCCCCAACAAAGTTTATTTCTCTGATACTGCAGATTCCTCGACAAAATTTTCTTCTCCAGCCAGATTTCATTCAACGTTCTCCTCCCCAGAAGAGTTGATACCCATATCTGAAGCTTGGTCAGATAGCGCATTAAAGGAAGATCTATCTCTTTTATCCCCAGTCAATGTACATAAGAATCAAGTCCTTCAATAAAAATAATGACGAACGAACGACTATCCTTGAACGCTTCTATCCCCAAGCAGAAGTCGAATTTCCGTAGTGGAGTGTACTCAAACAGAAAGCAGAAAACCCCAGTAAAGTCGTTCTGAAAGAAATTTGAAGAATTACTTTCTTCACCCCCAACAACAATCAAGGATTTATTTTCCCCATCTAGACATTGTTACAAGAAGCTACTGATACGCTCTAATGACATATTGTATCCATACATCATTTAAAAAATACCATGCGTACAAAACACATACTATTCTCATTTATTTTGAGAGCATCACTACAAAGTACATTACATACATAATGATATTGCATAAAACTAACTTTGTCTTTTCAGGTTAGTTCTCGAACATACTAATATTGTCAACAGTTTATCACCTTTCAGATACAATCATACAGTGATTCATTATGATAAACACATTGTTCGAATACAATTGGGTGAAGATTCATTCTGATCTACTTCTAGATACAGTCGGGCATAGACTCATTCTAGTACATCTTTTAGATACAATCGGGCGAAGATTCATTCTAATCCACTTTTAGATACAGTCGGCCGTAGACTCATTCTAATATATTTTTCAGATACAATCGGGCGTAGATTCATTCTGATACTCTTCTGGATATGGTCGGGCGTAGACTCATTCCAATACATTGTTTGAATACAGTCGAGAATAGACACATTCCAATAAATTTTGCAGATATAGTCTGGCGAAGACTCATTCTGATCCTCTTATAGATACAATCAAGGCATAAACTCATTCTAGAATAATATTCAGATACAAACGAGAAATAAGATTCATTCTTACACTCCCTAACACGTTCGTTAGATACAGTTAGACACAAACTTATTCTAGTATACTTTTTCAGATACAGTCGGGTATAGACTAATTCTAATACTCCTACTAACATTTACTTTGAATGGCATCTATAAGCCCATCTTCGACGACACTCTGTCAACTTTATAAATGACATCTTTAATCCCATTCAAGAAATATAATCAACCAACTGTGTTACTTCATGCACATGTGAGTGCAAATTTCTGGGCACTTATAAGTATTCAATCCTCTTCCACCTTCAGATCACGAAAGGCAGGCTTGCCAATCTAACTCTTAAGGTTTAATAAGATTGAACATGGGCAGCCGTTGTACCCCAAAATTTTCCCTCCCATCTTAAGACAAAATGGTTCAAGATACCTCCTAATTCTCATGAAGGTCTCAAGTACTCAAGAGTACTCAAGGGTTGACCAGACAAACCCTCATCCTAAGCAACCAACCTACAACTAGGATTTTGCTTTTCTCAAAGGAAATTGGACTTATAATGTCTCAAGTGGATTTCATGGTTTCTCATATGTATCAAAGTACCCTCATGATAAGTTTAAAGCCTTACAACACAAGTTTGCCTAGTCAATTGCTCAGATGATTGAAAATCAAATGTATTTGACAAAAAGTCAACTTTGATCAATCTACAATCAAACTTCAAGATTTTTGGTCAACGTCAACATTTTGAAGTCATATTCATCATTTGATAAAGGATTGATAATGATTCATCATGAAAACTCAAGATTCATCAAAAGTCAAAAGTTACTAAATTAGAGTTTTCATTAGGAGAAGTCAACAGAACTTTGACCAAGCATAACTTTCACATACTTCATCAGATATTCCTCAAACAAAGCCTATATTGAAGGAAATTCAATTCTCTACAACTTTGTCTCTCTAAGCTCAAAGCCAAAAATGCTTCATTTGGGAGGTATGAGCCAAAACATTACAGGTCATTTTAAAAGTCAACAAAAACACATCTTTTTTCAAAGAAATTTACATAAA